AGCATGCTGGATATTTGTGGTTTCTAGTGGTACGAGCGTTTGTCTTAGGCTATAAGTACTCGGGTACCCGAAAGCGGGGGGGGATAGATTTTGTATGGGTGCTCAGATGTGCACAGATATTTCACCACATATTTCTTTAATCCCTGTTTTCGGGCACTAGTACCGTACGAGTACTGTAAAAGTACTGATTGACTGGGACAAGTACGAGGTACATGTTGTCTCACCCTTTACACACCGCCTAATCCTTGTAGTATCGAAGCGTTCTTCTTTTTTTAAAGAAAGAACTGCCATTGCACACCACCCGGACCCAAGCAAAAGGCTGAAATTTTAGTGGTATGCAATAGCATTCCCTTTTAAAAACGCTTCGACATCACGAGTAGAGTGCGTCGTTGTCGGGGCAGAGGTGTACTGTCAAAGTAGAGGTGTTGTCCACTTGGCTGGAACACACCCAAGCAGTATACGAGTGTAGCATATCGTAGGGTGTTGGTTCCCACAGCCCAGGCCAAAGTGGGGGAAGGCAAATCGAATCATTGCAGAACGCTTTCTCTCCGCGGTATGCTAGTGGCGTCCCATTCCCTTTCTCCCTGCGTCAAGAAGATGAAAAAGTGTGGAATTGGGGACGAACATTAGTCGTCGCCACTCTTCGTTCGATGATACCTTTCAGCCATTTCGTCAAATCCTCCACTGTCGTCTGAGGCTATCGCTCCTGTCTCTGATACATATAGAGGTCTCTGTGCTGTGAAATTCTTTCTGTTTTTCTAGACCTCATTGGTATACATATGAAGTTATGCCCCGCCTAAAAATAGCGCTGTTGACTGTATACCGAGACTAGTCCATATCCTACTGATACCTCCGCTCATTCCCACTCGTCATTCATTCCTTTGCTGTCCTTGCAGCGGTAGATGGTAATTCTGGATCGTGGTTGATAATATTTGCTGACACCAACACACTACTAATCGTCTAGAGTGCCGTACGGTGCTGTGCTACGATTCTCACAAGGTAACTTGCATCCTGCTGGTTACGATCAAAAACCAAATTATAACGTATAGTCCCAACAATGCTATACCGGTAATTTCCGTTATCAGGCACCCAAGAGTGTTCACCAATGCGCAAAGTTGGTGGTCGAGTTGTTCCTGGCAGGCGGACCACACGTAGGGAGTTGGGCAGCGACAACAGAGGCGTAAGAGTCGATGGAGAAAGAGTATACGAGTCAATTCCTCAAGCACTGCGTTGCAGTCTATAAGAAGGGCTGTTCACCAATGGCTTCGGCCAGCTCTCCTCTCTCCTATTCTCCCTTCCCTCCCTGGCTATCAACAGTGCCTCAGTGGCGAGAATTGCAGTTTCACCTGATACCAACCTGCCGCTCCTTGGTCTCTTTCCGACCAACCCGCCCCATCAATCACTGGCCATGCCGCTTTTTCGCTTCCTCTACCATTCAAATCCTCCTTCTTGATCAAATACCGGGCCTTCAAGAACAACCTACTTGAGCGTGATACCGTGCGGTGTGGGTACCCTAGCATTTATCTACCGACACAAAAGCATGCGAGCCGCAAAAAAAGGAGTGGGAATCAAGAGCCAATGGCCAGACCCATTCGCCACCAAATCAAGTAATTCGCCCAGTTGCTTGTCATTGCGTCGAGCCTACTCGGAGGCCGGAGCTCTGCGCAAGGCTGTCAAGCGCCGCCCTGTTTGCTATGCACCGTCGCACGAGGCTGGCTCCCTCGCACATGCACAGCCTAGAATACAAAAGCAAATTTTTTTTTTCTTGGCGGCGCGGCGGGGTATTTGGTATATAAGGGTTTGGGTGGTTCCTGGGGATTGTCACATCTATTTCTTTTCCTGTAGGGAAGTGTCTAGTAAAATGGAAGATGACCAGAATACGAAGACCGTGAGCAAGAAGGCGGAGAGAAGTGTTGGGAAGCGGGGGGGTGGAGGGGAGGCGAAGGGGAGGAGCAGGAGGAATGGAAGGAAGAGGGCAAAAACTATTGATCAGCAGCCAAAGAATGATGAAGAAATGGAGACTGTACTAGCGGTAGAAGAGGGGGAGGGTGGCGGGGAAAAAAGTACTACTGCGACTGTAGCCACTGAATCGAAGGATGTCACGGACACGAAGGATGTCTCAGAAACGAAGGAAGGGACCGACCAAGCCAAAAAGCTCAGCAGCGGGCGCAAAAAGACTACAATGAAGGCAGCAAAACGAGAACTATCTTGCAATGACCACCCCACCGTGGTATTCAAGAGTAATTCTGACCTACGGTGACTCCTCTTTTCCCCTCTCGCTCCTATGTATATCTAGCGCAGTTGCTAATTTCGTGGTCTAAAGGAATCACTTATCAAGCCATCCCCGCCCCTATCACTGTATATTTTCCTTCGCATCTTGCCCACAAACTTTTTCAAGCAAAAACGAATGGAAACGCCATGTTCACAGCCAGCATCTTCTGTTCAACTACTGGCGCTGCGACCAAGCTTCTTGTTCTCCGCAGACCGATCCTCCACCCTCACCTTCAGGGGCGAGAGAAAAGAACACGTTTAATAGAAAAGACCTTTTCACACTGCATGTAAAGCGCATGCATAGCACTACTGTCACAATGCCTGAGGGGCTATCAGACATGGTGGAGAGGTGTAAGAGGCAGAGACGAAAGCCTCCAGCTTGGGAAAAGTGTGGACACTGCGGGAGGAAGTGGACCCGAGAGGAGTTCGGGGAGAAGATGGAACATATCGGGGGGCACTTGGAGGTGGACGCTGGAGGCGAGAAGGCTGAAGGCGCTGAACAGGGGTGGAGAATAGACAACGAGTTTATAGAGTGGGCTGTTGAGGAGGGAATTGTTGAGAGGGCTGATTTGGAGAAGGAGAAAGCGGTTGGGGTGGAAGGCGTCATTTTGGGAGGGGGAGAGAGGGCAAAAGATTTCGATGGGAGGTATAGGCTCGTGAATGTGGTCAAGCCGGGCACTCGTGGGCTTAAGCCTTCTACGTAGATGTTTCTTTGTTTCACTCTGTTTACTCTGCTTGGTTTGTGTCCGACTTTGCTTGCTCTACCTACCCTGTTTGCCTTGGCGACTAACTTTTCCACGATTTTCTTATTTTTTGTCGTTGTTTTGATACCCACATCTGTTATTGTCCCTTTATCATTACGTTCCACCTTTTGAGCTACTCCTCAGCATGTTTAGCATTTTTAGTGCTGGTCTGTCCTTTTTTTCCATACCCATCATTCTATCCTTCAATATAAAACAATCCTTTAGATCGAGCCGATTTCGTGCTCAACTCGGCGCAGTACGTAATTTCTAGCCTTGGATCTCAGCATCAAGAAGGCCATTCTCAGGACTCCAACATCACCTCTTCTCACTCGCTAGGCTTTTGCTTTACTTCCCACTGGACATGTTTCTGCTCAGATATGATATTACCCCATAGGGAAACTAGAAGAACTACCAAATCTGTCCACCAGGCTACATCCGGTAACTCACCGGGACATCAAGTCTCACTCGAGAAACAGGGCAAATATGATAGGAAGGATCATGTGAAATTCAATTCTCTCCATTTGCCATTTGCACCCTACCTACGCGCCACAGCCTAACTCATCCGCTGTACAATCGACGCACAGTCCTAGACATGGGCATGAGATTCTCATCAAACATCCCCACGGCAAACATATCATCCCAAAACCAGGGAGCTGTGTAATTCAACCACACCGCAACCCAAATATGTCCCGCCATCCTGGTCCACATGGTGCTCTTGCCAGTGTAGACCGACGACACGAGTGTCTCGAGCAGTATTCCGACGGGTTGTGAGAAGTAGAACGCGAGAATACCGCAGGGCAATGAAGACCATGAGAAAGGCGGCATGACGAGGAGTGGTAGAGCGTGGAAGAAGCCGCTTATTATGAATGAGAGGGCGAGGACTAGTGCGTAGGAGGATGGGAGGTGGAGGCATGTCAGGATGGAGGTTGAGATTATCGTTAGTGTTCGGCGGATGGCCTGGTGCCAGAATTTGCCCCAGAAATTGCGGATCGAGGTTAGGATTCTTAGGGAGCCGAAAAATGGTGGCCAGTCCTGTACTCGAGGGTGTTAGTGTAATTCTCTTGATATTGAGGGCGGGATGGGGGATACCTCTGGTTCGTATAATCCCGCGGCGACGACAACCGTGGAACAGAAGACGTGATGGAGTTCAATGCCTGAGAAACATAACGCGGCGATCGCGAGCCTTGCACCAAAGCTGCTATCCCTAGTGCTTAAATATCCACCCCCCTGTGCATCAGGAACCTTATACCCCCTAGCCACAAACTCCCAGCAGAGATCGAGCCCAATAGCCAACAACACACCCCAGACCACTCTCCCAAAGACAAACTTCCACCTGCCAACTTTCCTGTTTGCCGTGGGCACAACTCCCTTCACGCGAAAATTCCACCCAATGCCACGCTGGTCAGAAAATAGCTTTACGCTCCAGAGGATCTTCCGCAAGGAGAAACCCCACGTCGCGGCTTCGCCGGGCTTGTCGCTACGTAGATGCAGGAGCGTTTCAGGGGGTGCGGGAAGGGACAAGTGTTGGGAGAGGGTGGAGAGGTACAATGGCCAGAGGGTGCCGATGGCGTAAGTTAGTAGAGGCTTTGTAGGGTCGGCTGGGGAAGCATGTATCGCGATCACGAGGAGTACGATTGGTGGGACGAAGAGTACGCTGCGGAGTGGGAATGGTGGGAGGGAGAGGGAGAGGATGCAAAAGAGGGGGAGGAGGAGCGCTGAGGTGACTGGTCCGGGGAGAGGGATGGGTGTTTGGAGGGCCATTGGATGTGCAGGTAGGAGTGCGGAATCGCTAGGGAGAGAAGGAGGAAAGGGGTGCTATGTTATCACGGTCTGGACACGATCAGCTTTTACCTGGGCGGGTTCGGTGCAGGGTTTGACCTATTCGCCGCACCCTTTGTCCATCCTATCACATATTTTTCGTATTTTCTATTGATCGATTCATCAAGTTTCACTCAATCTCCAACATCCGGCTTGGCAGGGGAAATCGAGTTGATACCGGTTGCCAGCATCTAATAGGAGCGCCCGTCTTCAACTCCCCCTTCCTTCCTCTCTACTCCCCCCTCGCTCAACACCTTCTCCATTACTCCCACCACCTCCGCAGCCTTAAACTTATGCATCAACTTTCGCGTCTTCTCGCCCTCTTCGATACCCTTCTCCCCGATTGTCCGGGAAACGTGGATTACCGGGACGTCGAATTCCTATTCTCCCCCAATCAACTTAACCGCAGCTATAACTTGCTAGGAATGAAGGTTGGGTACATAAACACGCCACTTGTCGTCCTTCATCACATCTACTTCAGCGTACTCGAATGGCCGCTTTTCCCAAGCCTGCGAGAGTTCGGTGCGTGCTGTATCGCAGAGGCTGCACGTTGCACGGCTGTAGAGGGTTATGTGGATTGGGAGGCGGCGGAGGAAGAGGACGAGGGTTTGGTGCATTGTTGGGTGTAATGGGGCGGGAGGTAGGAGGAGGGGAGCGGGGAAGGATTAGGGGGGTGACGATGGAATGGAAACCCTAACCCTGGGTTGATTCTAATGTTGAAGCATTAATAAGTTAACTTATTTGCAGATTCTTAGTTCGTGATAACGCTAACATCAAATTGGCTAAGAACTAAACTCCATCAAGCTAAAAACTTAAGGAAGACTCCCTTCGCATCCAACCTGGCTTTCATCTCTGCAATCTTGTCTGCCGTTTCTTTGCTTCCCCAGAGCTCTTCTGGCTTCTCATCTCCAGCTCGGAACCCAGAGTATACCACCATATCTTCACGCACGTCCCCTCTTTTCGCCGCCTTGCGCACGTCTCTACAAAACTTTTCCGCACTCGCATGATTCTCCGGGAGACTGTACCATGGTACAGGGATACTGTGCCACCGTCATACTGGTCAGCAGCCACTCTAGAGACGTGAAAGACAGGCTACTAACCACCAGATATCGATATCCCTATGCGGATACACACCGACAGAGCTCTTCCTTGCAACACCCATCCCCAAAAACTCAAGCAACACACAAGACTTGCCCAGATCCCCACCCGCGGAAAGCAGATTCTCAAGTGCCTCTACCATCCCCTTCAATCCTTCAACGTTCACCCGCTTAAGCCCCACCCCAGTCATGCGCTTAAACTCCCCGCGCTCGCCGGAGCCCTCGCTATGATCATTCATCCGCACGTATGGCACTCTCTTGGCCGTCTCTGCGATAGGCTTCAAGTCGTACAACCCCTTCAATACCCTCTTCGCATCCTCATCGTTGCCATAGTAATTCACGGTGAAAATGAACAAAGGCGCGCCTCCCTCTGGTGGAGATACGAGCAAGAGGTAAACCGCGGTATTCTCATCCCATTTCGCAGAGCTCAAAAAGTTAGCAACCTCTGCGATCCGGGATGCTGGGAATGTCATCGACGCAAAGAATACCGTTTCGTCCGTGGTGTTTAGGGTTTCGTTGAGTGGGTAGGTTTTAATCTGCATTTCCGTGACGACGCCAAGGGTTTGTCCGGCGCCGGCGAGGATGTGAAAGACTTCGGGGTTGGATTCGGGGCTTACGGTCAGAAGTTCGCCGGAGGCGGTTATGAGGCGGGCGGAGAGGAGCGAGTCTATGGCCATTCCGAGCTTTGGTGCTAGGGGGCCGAGGCCGCCACCGAGGTAGAGGGAGGTCATCCCGACGGTGTTGCATGTTCCGCTCACTATTCCTCATTAACATCTCATGCCCTCTTGATAAGATAGCACGGGATAACGTACTGACACATCTCCCCCTCCCCCCCGCAACTTCCATCACCTTTCCATTCAACGCCCCAGGCCGAAACCTAATGGTGTTATCGCCATCATCATAAACAACTTCATCCCACCCCGCCAAGTCAAGAATTATCCCATCACAAGAATTAAACACACTATGCCCCCCACCCCTCACGGAGACGCGAAGGTTGTGCTCAGAGGCGAATTTGACGACGGTCTGGATGTCGGATTCATTGGTGGTCTTGACAACAGCTTTGGGGGTGGTGAGGGCGTAGTTCGTCCAGTTATTGTAGTCCTCCGTGAATGCTCTTGCCGGGATGGTGAAGGTGGAAGAGTGGGAGAGGAGGTGTTTTAAAGAGGTGACGTCTGCGATGGCCATTGTTGGTTGGGGTTTGTGGATCACTTGGAGGAGTAGTATGTATGTAGAATTACTATGATACTTGCGGTGGAAGCAGCAATCTATTGAATCAAGCAGAATGGGGGGTTTTGCGAGGGGTTTATATCCTCGGCGCCTACCACCCTCCGCCCTACATCTCCCATCACTCGCATGTTAAACAGATTGAAACTTAAAGCCACTGCATCATCTCGACAAAAACTCAGATCCAAACCAAAGTATCCCTCCACCAGCTCGGTTTCCCGAGCCCTATCAGGACAAAGAAGCAGCAAGCCTCGTACACTCGGACTCACCGTGTGTAAACTAAGCATTTAAAACAACCGAATTGGGAAATACTTTGCAGCGCGTCTGACTCCAATAGTGCTATTTCATGGTGCAGTTGTGCTGAGGGGTAAGTTAGTCGTTGACTCAGAAGAAGGTAAAGCGCGAGCACGGTATCACATCTCTAGCCTTATTTTCGAATTCTCAGCTTGGCGCGGGGTGGGGCAATGCCAATTGAGAAACATGACTTGAAAGAGTGCTCGTATACCAGTACCGGTACTGTACAGTACCTAGCAAGTTAGATACATTCAAGCCTGGTGTTGAGGAACGTTTATGCGGTAGTCTACCCCCGCGGCCGGGTTGAAGTTGGACACTTTTCTATGGGAATTGTCACCTTAGGTTGTCCGACCTCAACGAGGGAGTATTTACGAGTTTGAAGGACTACCGTAGTGTGTAAACGCCTTTTTTTGCATGATAACAAATAATTTTAAGTCTGGCACACCAGCTCGAAAGTATTATAGGTGGCGCCCCCAAAAAGAAAAACCTTTTTTTTTTTTTTGACCACAGGACTGAGTTCAGCCTCTAAGAGCATAAATCTCCCACAATACTGTGTTGGATCCATCCCTTACCGTAATCTTTCTTGTTGAATTTCGCATCATTTCCGTTCCGTGGACGAGTACGGTAGGTTACCGGTACTACGAGAAACCCGAATACCACTACGGTAGATGAGAGTGGTACTGTACTGTACAAGACTCTTGGGGGTTTTCCCCTTTTTATCAACTATCGTGCGTTGGAAGGAGGAGGAGGAGGAGGAAAAGAAGACAATGTAAGCTCTGCCCTTGGTGGGGACGAGATCGTGGGGGGGGGGATACCGTGCATTAATTAATGCACAGCGGCTAAACTTATTTACTATTGTCGGTGGAGGAGGCAATTCCAATATCCTAGCACCTTAATCTCCCCTTCGAGTTTTTACGGTAGCGCACCGTTCTGGATTGGTATTTCCGTCGCTCAAAGTGCGGGAAATAGAAGAACGGACAAAAAGATCATGAGGCTTTGGATGAGTTGGAATCCGTACGAGGGTGGAGTTGGTAGTGTTTGCATGGGTTGGTAGGGAGGAGGATTGCCGTGTTTTGATGTGATGTGGTGGTTGGAGGTGACTATTGCAATAAATAATTTTTTTTATATAGGAGCCTTAATATTATGGTTGGGGTCGAGACATAGCAGTGATCTGCAGGAGCAGCTCAGTATACTATTGTATGATATATTATATATGATGCTCTACTTTGGGGGGTCACGTTTCCCTACCGTACCTTGGAGATCAGTTTATCCAGCTCGAAGGGTTTACTTATCATGCTCTACATTGAGAATCCGGTTTGAAACGGCTCAGTAATATTATATAATACAAACCCCTGCAGTTGGTGAATAGCCTATATGTTGTACTAGAAGCGAAGAGGCCTTTAACTGTCAAGTATAGTACAGTACAGTATTAGAGCTTACCGACTTGCAACGCTATAATATTGTTCCCGGGAATATGAATGTTTAGTATGGGAACAGTATCATAGATATGAAGAAACAGGAAAGTTAAAAAAAAAAAAAAAGTAATGCCCTTAGATTTGCCGTCAGATATGCTACAGCTAGGACTAGAAGAAACAGGTCACATCCATGGTGGTCTTGTCTTTCTGTGATTTATATAATAATATTATTATAGACTTGGTCTGGTCTTGTTTATTTGCTTGATGCATTTTGGAAGGTTATTTTATAACTCGAGTGCTATCTTTTCACTTGGGCTGCTATTCGGGGGATTTTTTTTTTGAAGAGAAACAAAATCGTTGCACACAAAGTGTTTAATAATATTATAAGGGTGGCATACCGGTATATCTTTTTGGCCGTGCAAAACAGATCCTAAAGTACTTAGTATGATAGCCCCCCCCCCATTTTCCACACTTTGAGCTGTAAACACCTATATACACCCCACAGTCCCAATCAGGATCTTTGCATATTCAATTCTTATAATATATTTCCACAGTCTTTTCCCAGGCACTCCTGCTCCCTGCCAATAGCATAGAAATTGGTATTCCTACCGGGGGAGGCAAAGTTATCCTTGGCGGGGGATGGTTCCGAAGAGTAGCAACCTGCTGCCGCTGCCGTCGCCGCTGCGACCAAGGTATTCTGCACTCGTAGGAGGTCCCGTAGGGGGAATGCTCGGGCTGAGCGTGCTGGTCCGGGGGGGGGGGCAGAGCAAAGAGCTGGTAGGAGGGATAATACACTTGTGGATTGGGCTATTTCATGAAGAATTGTACCCATTGTCTCAGACTTGGTCTTGTCCCGCCTTCGCGGTCAGAAGACCCACGGAGGCGGAATACCCTCAGCGTCATCAGCACTGTGGCAGGGAATCCCGTTATCCTCTCCGGTGCCGTTGGTGGTTCGTCCGATGGGAGTTTTCACACGTCTACCGCCGGCACAAGTCAGTACTTTCTTACAGGGACATGATCCGTCGTCCCCACCCAATTTACTGGAAAGTACTGTGTCCGCATATCTCTGTTCCAGCACTTTGAAGTGTTCTTGATCTCAAGTTCCACTGCACCGGTGTGACAATCACCGCAGCTTCAGGGATGAATCTACTGGGTCGGTAATATATCATGGTGGTATTCACACCGGCAATTAACACTTACCACAACGTCTCGGAATCCTGCCCCAGGCGTTGCAGATGTGGGATGCTTGTGCTGCTGTATGGCGCTGTTACATCTATCGGTAAGTAGGGTAAGTGAGGTGGAGTGGGTGAACAGCATGGAAGAGGGAACCGTGATCACTACGAATGGAGGAAATCTGAGGTGGGATGTGTAATGAGCCGGGACCAAAACCGCCCCTTGGGTGGTCCCATATATCCTCCGACACCAACCCCCAAGTAAGAGCTTCTCGTGCGAAAGGGGATTCTCTCTCATCTTTTCACCTCCGATTGTGAGCTACACTCTAAAGTTCGTTTGGTCTCGTCTCGATTTGTGGCCTGATAGGGGTGGTAATGGCACGAATCGGGAGTTTGGCGAAATAGCGCAGAGGGACTAAATTAGTCGTGCTTTTGGATAATGGTTGCTTGAGTGTGGAAGGTGGTGGGGACGGAGCTTTCCAGTCTATTATAGGATAAGGGATCGGCACTCATTTAGCTTGGAGAGCATATGCGTGCTGTTCGGGGTTGGGATATTCTTTCTTTATGGGGTGTAAAATTGGAGAGGGCGGAGGGTGCACGGTTGGTGGATGCGGGTGACAGACAGATTGGGCGTAATTTTGGGACGGGCGGGGCATGTTTTGCATGTCGAAGGTGTGGTGCCATGTTGTGAGGTCGGCAATCAGGGGAGCGGGTGGGTATGGCGAGGGTGAGTGTGATAGTGTGAAGAGGTGGGCAACCCGGGGGAAAACGTTGGGGGTGTGAGTGATTATGTATGACTGGCGATCATGTTGGCTTCCTACACCCATTCGCCCGGGGCCAAATCACGGCCCAAGCTTCACCAGAGTGTAATTTTGGTTTCAATCCATGTGCCGTTAAATCTCATTTCATTAACTACTACTCATAATCTCATAAAAATTATTAAATTATTCCCTATTCTCAATCCCGCTCCACCCCCGCCAGATGCCCAACCAAAACCTAACCATTAAAAAAGCAAAAGGTATAAAAAAAAATAACATTACAAAGGCGGCGCATTCGGATCCATCATACACTGATCAACCCTCATCAACTGTTTTCCGGTAGCCCTCGCGATCTGAATAAACTGCTTAAGATAGTTCACAGTGGACGGGTACAAGTAATGCATAACGACCAGATTTCCCCCCTTATTCACGTCCCGCCTGAACGCGTCAAGCTGCTTCTCTGGTGTGGAGGTAGTAGCCCACAGCCAATCCTCGCAATCCACGCTCCAATGGATTACCTGTGAGCCAGGGATGATCGCCTGGAGCCGCTGCCGCGACCGCGCTCCTGTGTTACCGAATGGCGGGCGGAAGTACTTGCTGCTGGTGTGGAGTGTTTCTTGAACGGCTGTTATGTCCTGTTGCAGTTCCCAGTCGATGGCCGCCTCTGATGGGAGGGATTCCATCTTTGGATGTGTGTAGGAGTGGAGGGCGACTTGGTGCCCGCGCGCGAGCATCTCGGTGTACACGTTTGACATATTGGTACTGGGGTCCCGCAGCGGTGCTCCGACAGTGAAGAAGGTGACTTTGATGTTCTCATCGTTGATGATTTTCATCACTTGCTGAGCGAGTTCCGGGACTCCGTCGTCGATGGCGAAAGCGAAGCTATTGGGGCGCTTGCATGCGAAGAGGAGTGGGGCTGTGGGGATTTTGGCGGAGATGCTGCCGGTGAAGGATGGCGGGACGGTGCTGGCAATCTCGATGCGGGAGATGACGGTGGAGGTACTCGTTTGGAAAGCCTTCAATGCTACGCCGATGACTCGGGATTTGACAATGTTGAAGTGGCTGATGGGGATGTATATATCTGATGCGGAAGAGTACCTGCGGGCCTCCACGTCGTCCCATGTTTCTGGGTACGGTGCCACCGCCTCGTTACAGCCACTATTGTGTTGCTGAAGAGACACAGTGAAGAGGTTTGAACCGGTATACGCGATGTGTAGGTATGAACTCTCGAAGGAGCTCATGTCGCGACAGGAGGCGGATATTTGGGAATAGAAAGAATAATCCGTGTCTTGAAAGTTGACAGTGAGCTTGCCACCAGAGATACGGTATTGACTTGGATCGTCTCCCCCGTGCCAGAAGCCGAGGGCATTGGTGTCTGGGTTTGCGAACTGGTCAATGACGAGTGCGCTAGCGGTGGAGCTAGTGACTGGAACAGTCGACGTCGGGTCACTGCCGGTGGGTGTTGGCGGGAGGATATATTCCGTCGGAGTATTTCCGCAGTAGAACGCCATTGGTCCAAAGGTCACGGGTTTGTTGTTGAACGAGATAAAGAGGATGGACACTAACTTGCTAGTGTCAAGTCCCGAGAAGGACGAGAACGGGATGTTGTATAGCTTCTCGGTGCCGTCGAATGTCCATCCCAATTGTGCGGTTGTCCTATCGTATGGGTTGAAGGCACCTGTGGAGCAGGTTGCGCTCGATTGCATCTGGACAGTAAATGTGGTGCCCGCAGCGGCCTTGATCCGGAGACTGATACCTCCATGCCTGTTGGCGGCGCTCACGCAACCAAAGCTGGAGTAGAAGTACGATCCCGACTTTGGCGTGAGTGTCACGCGGTTGTTGGCGACAACAATGGATGTCATGGTTCCATCGTCGGAGGAGGGTTGGTTCATGGCATTGTAGAAGAGGAAGGTCAAGCGGGACTGCGATGCCCAGTCGTCGATGAGAAGGGGCTGGCAAGTGCCTGACGGTACAATGCTAGAAGTGGTAGAAGTCCCCGTCCCGCTGGATGTGCTAGTGGTGCTAGTTGTACGGGTGCTACTACTGCTACTACTGCTGCTACTGGTGCTAGTGGTGCTAGTGGTGCTAGTAGGGCGGGTAGTGCTGCTAGTGCTGCTAGTGCTGGTGGTACCGGTGGTGCCGGTAGAGGTAGTAGGGGTAGAGGTAGTAGAGGTAGTAGAGGTAGTAGAGGTAGTAGAGCGAGTAGAACTACTAGAGCTACTAGAGCTAGTGGAGGTAGTGGAGGTAGTGGAGGTCGTAGAGCGAGTAGAGCTACTACTAGAGGAAGTGGAGGTCGTAGAGCTAACCGGAGCACTGGTAGGACCGCCAGCGCACACAAAGCTAGTCTCGCCGAGCTCCCAACTTCCAGCAGCGCTGAACCCGGACCATGCCCACGCTTTGATAACGGCCAAGTTGGCGCCGGGAAAGGACGACAATGGGACGGTAATGGTTTGGGTAGAACCGGTAAGGCCAGTGACGTCATAGTAATAGCTTGTATAAGCAGCCGGGCAGCTGCTGGCTGTCTGAAGCTCGAGGGTGAAAGAGCCACCAGCGGGACCCTTGAAGGGGAACGTTATGGCGTTATAGCGATCAGCAGTGGCCGAGATACAGTTCGAGAAAGTTGTGTAAAAGTATGACGAGCCATCGGTCTTTGGCGTGAAGGTCAACTTCTTATTGGCGGTTGAGGCCGTAAGAGAAGTCATCGAGCCATCATCTATCACAAACAGGTTAGTCACCCCTTCACCCTCAATTGCGCTCCCGGAAAGCACTCACCACTCGTCCAACTTCCAAGAGAGTTTTGATGACTGGAGTATTTGGAGTAATTGTCAATAAGGAGGTTTGTAGAGCATATAGCTCGTGCAAATAACGACCGACTGGAGACTTCCGGCACCAACAGCGAGGCGCATAGGGCCAGTACTGTCCCAACTCCACGCATGATGGGGTAAAGAAATATATAAAAAAAACCTAAAACGAGTGAAGGTTCTGGCTATCAACTTATCACCCAACGAAAGAACTCCGGAGAGGGGTAAAGAAGAAAGAAGGGAGTAGAGGAATAAAAGCGAATTTATAAAGAGATAGAGAACTTCAAAAGAGTGTGCAACAGTGGCCTGGACGATGTACTCGAGAACACCAACCTACAGCGCAAGAACGCCACTGTAAAAAGCAATAGGTGGTAGGCACGCTGGGCATTGGGGTAGGGAGGAGAAATCCGTGAAGACCGAAGAGCCTAGGGTTATATATTGAACACGGCTGGGAGGTCGAAGCACGGCGTGCCTGAATTGGACGCCGGACAAGCCTAGACTTGGTATGATATTAGATATCCTGGGGTGTAATTTGGGTACCTTTTTTTCCCCAATGATTCAGCGTAACAATGAGGCCCAGTTAAGCACGTCACAATATAACTTTGAAGCGTGCCTAATGGGGTCCGGGTTGGCATATACTCCCCGCAAAAAGATCCCTTCCTGGTGATCACCCAGTCATTAAATCTCGAAAGGTGTGGGCAGAAAAAAGTGGTTAAACAGAGAAAAAGGACTTTTGACCCCTTAGAGTGTGGGTGGTTCCGCCCATGGGGTATCGGAAGCTTGATAATAAGAAATTGGTCCTGGGGAAAAACAAAGATTCCTCGAAACGGAACGGACACCGCACCACCAGAATTCCTGTTTTGCAATGATAAAGAATTTCTGCTTCATAACATTGAACGGCAGGGAAGTACCGGTTGACGAGAGATACTAGGCCCTCAATTGCTTGCTTCCCGTGTCCATTGCCTTATTTCCCAGTAGGACCCAATATCCGGCTTGACGATTAGACATGTACCGGAACCAAAAGGCTTGACATTTCGAGGAGACCGCGAGTGTTGCATGCCATGGTAGCACCAACAAAGGAGGGCCTTCTTGATTCCGAGTGCCGAAAGGTCCCTAGGGTGTAGGTCAATACTCTTCGGGTACTAATAATAATCTACGGAATCCACAACGAGTCGACAGGGGTATGATAGTGGAGGTATCATACACTGTACAAGTACTCGAGTACGAGTAGAGGGAAACAAGGGCCCATTTTGACCCAATGAGTTGCTGCTTGCTTGTGCTACATTGCAGTGCAAACGGAACAAGCGAATTTGTGCCAAGAGTTTCTCTCGTGAAACCAGAGCATCTCTAATCTAGCTGAAAAAGAAAATTGCGCCCACGTTCGGGTGATCTTTTAAGCACTTAACCGTCACCAGCATCACCACCTTGAACAGTCTTCCCGCGTGCGTTGCAGCTGCCGCTCGAAATCCTATCAAGAGACAACTCACTCATGTAGTGCAATTTCCCTCCAATGACAGGAGATCCTTAGCCACCCCTTCCAGGAACCGGGGCAAAAATAATAATAATTTGGGTGCCTTGCGTACGGGACAGGCACAGGCACACAGGCACAGCGACACCCGCGGGAGAGAACCAAGAAGTCAATCAAACATACGAGTAAGCAGGGTAAATTTTGGGTAAATTTCAACTTGAGAAAACACGATGGCGGGGGCTACAGTCTTGCTGTTAGTGTATGGTAAAAGTTATGGCCACAGCAGATGTGATGCCCCTGCAGTGTAGTACCAAGAAGACACAAGAGGTCTAGTTAACGTTGTGTTGATACTTGTAGACGATGTGCAGAGAAAATGCTGTTACCAAGAACGTCGCACTGTGCTGTGCTGTGCTCTACAGTACAGTACCAGGTCGGATGATTCAGTTGCCGTGTTCTACCGCCCATAGCCTGGCTTCTCAGTCTGCTTCAGTTACTCGAGTACAAGGTTTCGTTCGAATAGGAAAGTCAGAGTGAGCCGGTCCGGAAACGCGCTTTTGAACTCGCACCATGGGATAATGGCACATGCCATAATTGAGGATAAAAGTTTCTCGACCTCTCTCCAATTCTATATCCCGTTAAGCGAGCGAGAGCAGAGATCCTTTAATTCTGGGTTTGAAGAATCTTATGAAAGGCCCCCCCGAGAATTACATTTGTGCGCCCGGTAATATGTACGACCTTAGCTACAGCCTTCTGGGAATCCTTTCATGGAAGGTTTGCGGACCGATCGCCGTGTCATTCGACGAAAAGGGGGTTTCCTTGCGTGTTGATAAAGGAAAATGATATGGTACAGTGTGGCCATGCTGGGTGTGCACTTGCACTTGAATCGTGCTCGAGTGCGAGTGCTGTACTCGTACAATTTTTCTAGGGCCCCTCCCGCGGGGGGGGGGGCAGGAGGCGTTCAAGTGGCACTTCTTTTTCACGAGTCGCTATGTAATCGAGTAGACCTCAGCTATCCTGAACTATCGACTTATCATCTACCGGTGTCATAGAAGCACGTCCCTGCACTCGGAGTACTCGTACAGTACCAGTGCGCGAGTAAGAGGAGGGGTACCGGTATGGCGCTCGAGTGCAAGTATAATAGCATCAACGGGGCATCGATGGCGCCACCTGTATCTCGTGGACTGCATTCTGCGGTCGCAAAGCCAACAGTGCGCGATAGCACCTGTATTTCCTTTTCCTGTATGATATTTGTTGTACTTTCGTCAAGCAGCGTACCGGTAGCATAACACCAAGAGCCCCTTCAGCAACGCGGGAGGTACCGCTTGGTCTTCCATGAGTAAAGTTAAGCCCGGAGCGATACCAGGAGGTTATAATTGGAAAAGGAGCGCGTACGGGTACTCGAGTACCGCTACTAAACTCGCCCGACCTGGGCCGACCCGACCCAGGCTAATCCGATGAGCAACGAGTCGTCGATTCGCCAGAGGTGCGGAGCGCATGGTGTTGGTTCCATCGGGTGGCGCGGCGGCGGGTATCGTGGACGGCAGGACAGGTTTATTTTTCTTGTGTCTCAGGTACTCCGAATGTGGTGAGGCTGATGTGCTGTACGCCCGCCAAGAGTTTGCACAGTACTCGAGTACTAGTACAAGTACAAGTACACTTTCCAAGGAGGAGCCTTGGTACCATGGCGGGGCGTAGTTGTTGTCGTTACGGTGATGACGATGCAGCAGGGTAGCTCGTGTCAAAGCCGGGGGGGTGTTGGTGGTGGAGAGTTGCTTTTTCACTTTGTCGTTAGGCAAGGCCCACCAGTCAGAGTAGTTATCGATAGGCGAGGGCCGTCCGTTCGAGCAGGATACGGGTATGGTAGGTACAGTACAGTACCAGCATGGCCTGCTGTCTTGTCGAAATACTCTTGTTCCGGGGTTTACCTAATTGGATCCCGGAAGAGCTCTCATGCGGTATCCACCTTAAGTCGATGCAAGATATGGAGGGGGTGTTGACCAAAAAAAATACTGATTGTGCTCAAGTCCAAAGGTGGAAGCTCTCAATGATTACTGCAACGCTCGCTTAATGGTCGAATTTATTGCGGTACCGGTATGTGAGATACTATGGTTTGAGCATACCGGTACTCCGCTTGCCAGCCCCCATGTACTGTGGAGCTCAAAGCGAAAATGTCACCGACCCGTAATGCTGAACGGGTTTAGAATAACCCCCCGGAAAAACCATCTGTGACATTGTTCAGCCCTCCAGTCCAGTTACTGTATGGAATTCTCTTTTCGTTCTGTGATAAATCATCAGTATCTACTAACTAGAGAGCCAGGAGGTGCATGGGATCGCTCGCTGCCCTAGAGGCGTTGCCACGGCTGAATCCTCTTGTGCTGTTTCCTCGCTTCTGATTGTGTAGGTTTTGGATGCACTTCACAGAATATCACTCGTATATCGACCTCATCTTTCATTGTCGAATGATATCGGTTGGTTTGCATGCGGGCTGGGGAAGATCTAACGGGGCATCAGATCTGCGCCTTTTTATTCGCTATTATGCCATCTGTTGCATCATCCGAATGTGGAATGGTATCATCGGCCGGGGGGAAAACCTCTTTGTCGGTGAAACCTTAAGTGCAATTCCGTTTCCAGTGCAGGTGTAGCAAAGCGGGGGTTAATGCGCTGTTATGCAACAAGATGGGGATTTGTATGGAAGTCGATAGCCCCACCTCCAGTGATCTTGATCCCTGTTTTCTCCTTCGGCTTTTCGGTATCCCTCACCGCTCTGCTTGAATAATTGTGGGCCTAAATGCCTATGGTGACGGAAAAGAGGCGACTGAGGATTTCGGGGGGGGGGCTATCTGTTTTGCTGCAATCTTCCCCTATGGCTAGTTGGGTTACTGAAACAAACCGTTGGAGAAAGCTGCAGGTCAACTAGACTTCTGTCTTGAGAGGACGTCACAATTGTTTCTTAGGATGAGCCCGTTTGGCTTCGGGAGTTTTGCTCGCTTGTTGCTATACGCTGGAGGCTGGCGTCTTCCCACATTTTCTACTGAGTGCTGGGACTATTTGGGTGTTTGGGGTGATGCTGCCTAAAGGGAAAGGAACGGATTCTTGTTATCCCTGTGCTTTCAAAGATGGTGGCAAAAACTGCGCCTAAACGCGGAGAATGCTGGGCATATGACTATTAGGGGAACAGTTCCAGGAGCTTCGCGCTTTGGAAAAGCAACCAAGAATGTATCTTTGAGGGGGATTATAAAACGAGAATGCCTAACTAGGCTGGCCATTGGCTCGCCTGGTCTAGGGGAGCGGTATCCGACAGCCTATTGTTTGCGGCGGGTGCGGCATGGGCCTCTAGGCTGCATCTGCTAGCTCATGGTTAATGACCGCTCATAGGCCATTTTCTAGGAACCCATTCGAATCCTTTCATCTTCCGGATACGCACATGCCCCCTGCATATCCACCGAGGATCTTGATTTACTGCATTCGCTTTAGCCCTTGTATTTGCCAATGGATGGGCTTCCACATACAGCTCAAGGATTGCCTAGTAGTGGGTGCCCTGGACTATCTTTTGCCCCACGGGGCCACCTCTGATGAAGTTAGGCCTACCGTGCTGTTTGGAATTATTTCGGACAATTTTGGGGGCAGATAAAAGGTGTAGTACTTGCACTTCTTCGTGAAAAGATACTGAGCAACTTGGCCTTCTGTTAACTTCAATAGGGTTCCTATCAAAGATCAGTTCAAAAAATGGCAGTCCCGCAATATACCCTCATAGAAACTCTCCCTGCCCTGGCAGCCATGCTCAGTAGCATCTCAGATCTGCCCAACCACCCCCCACCTCTTTACCTGGACCTCGAAGGCGAAAGACTCGGCCGTCATGGAACCATAGCTATCATACAGATACACGTCCTGCCTCAAAACCACACCTACCTTCTCGACATCACAACTCTCGGACGGGAAGCTTTTACATTCCGGGAAAACCTCCAAGCGAAAAATCTCAAGACGATCCTTGAGTCACCATCCATCACCAAGTGCCTCTTTGACGTGCGTAACGATGCGGACGCTCTGTTCAACCTGTACGACATCTCCCTTCGAGGCGTGCAAGACATCCAAGTGATGAATTACGCTGCGAGAGAAGTCCGCAACGGCGTGCGCGGGAGAGGGCCCCGCGTTATGGGGCTTGCGAAGTCCATTGCTGCGGATTGTGGACTTAACAGGGCTGCTTTGGCAGAGTTTGAGAGGAAGAAGGAGGAGGGAGGGATGATTTTCAATCCGCAATTCGGCGGGAGCTACGCGGTGTTTGCCGAAAGGCCTTTAAGGCAGGATGTGTTGGAGTACTGTGTGGGGGATGTGGTCCATTTGCCAACTTTATGGCGGAAGTATCATGACATACTGGGGGGTCGTGGTTGGCTCAGGAGTAAAGTTCAGAGTGCAACTTTAGGGAGACTAGAAGATGCAAAGGGGACAAGTGTACTTAGTGGCCGTCAGAAGGCTTTTGGGCCTTGGTAGGGATATTTGAGGTTCGTCTAATCGTACTCTTCCCTGGGAGTTTCGCTGACGTGTCGAGTCTAAATAGTGGCAATATGGTATATGTATTAGCGGGGGTCTAGAGCCACGGGCTGTGCCAACATTTGCTGCACAAAATATATGTCGCCACTCCGTTTTTATGAACTCATCACTGGGCCGTTATAAGGTGAAGAGCTTTCTTCTCTACTGCTCTGCGCTTATAATTCAACATGTTTATCGTCTCCAAGCTTTGTCGGAAAACTCTCCGTATGGTAGAGCTGATGGAAGAAGCAGGACATTGTCACTCCCGGCTATCTACCAAGGGCTTCGGTTTTCTCTTACACCTCCCTTGTGGGTGGGTCGACATCGTAGTTAATTTTGATTTTCCTTCTCTGTTGTACCATCCACCGTATAAATCCAAACCTCCTCTATCCCTATAACCCCACCCACAGCGCGGACATATATTATCTCACAATTGTGGTAGTAGCCCTAGTTTAAAAAGCGGTATTAGAGCAGGAAATTGAGTTACCGACAGAAGTATTCTACAACGCATAGAGCCATGCGGTTCGTGAACCGCACCTTCCATGTAGCTCCATCTGACAAAGGAAACAATTTAAAGTAAAGTGACCAAGGCCCATGAAACCCCACCGCAATAACCAGAACAAGCAACAGGCCGAGAAGACGCTTTCCAAGAATCTCACCGGAATGATTGTCGATAAGACTCTGCAGGAGTTGAAGTTATGCTCACGGGGGGGGGGTTATTTGTCGAACTTGCTGGACAACCGCTACATAACCCTCAGAAGATCTGCCCAAGAGCTTGTTCGGTATTGTGGGTCCGCCCAACAAAGCAGATTAGGGATCTTGTAAAGGTGATCTAGGATAAGTTGGCTGGTCTAGCACTAGGTACCCCCCTCTTATACTAGAAACAGGAACAATCTGATAACCGCATATATCGTCAGACGTCTGGTGTATGCCTAGGGAGAAATTGCGCATGATGGCCTTGGAGTTTCCCACTCGGAGCCATACGAGCTCGTAAACACCTACATTGAGATTCTCCGCCCACGACTACCTGATATCCTCTCACTCCGGACCGAAGATCGCATGGTCCCATTAAAACCCTTGGTCTTTTTCGACCCCGCGGCGATGGAAACCCTGGAGTCCCGGTGGAGGACTACGGATACACTTACCACCGCCTCCGCCGTGATCTGTATAATATGACCTGCTGCGACGGGAATGGAGGCAGCCACTCGGTATGCACTCCTGGCTGTGCATATTACCATAGGTCGCTTTGCTGCCAGAAATCGCTGCCTGACGGGGGGTGGTGTTTCGATCGGGAGGCGACTGAATAGAATTGGCGAGATTAATAAATGGTTGGAGAACGTGCAGGTTAGGTGGACTGTTGGTGAAGAGGTGGGGATGATTTTTTAAGCTGGGAGATTATGGTATGGGGATGGGAAGGCGGTGGTGGTGGGAGAGGGGTTTTTAGCTTATATGGGCGTTTATATCAAGTAGACTAGAAGTACGTAGAGTGCCACACGGTACGGCACCGTAATTAGATCCAAAATCAGGCTTCTGGCACATGTTCACCAAGACAAAAAGGTCTCTCCCCTACAGACACACATCCTAGTAGCAACGCGGCAATAACTCTCTCAACAATAGGAAACTTCCGCATTTACCCACCCAGTGCTCACAAACCAACCCCCCGAAGCTAGTTTTTGGAGGTAACAGATGCTGGGGTTCTAGATGGATGTTGATTGATCGGAGTAGATTGGGGAAGTTTTGGAAGTCTGGAGGAGAGTTCAAAAGTTCAATAGATCAGTGTGAAGGTTCCGAGATTTAGAGAGTAGATTCTCTGGGCATGTCTTTCCTTTATTATCGCGGAAGTGTGCCGATGAATAGGGGAACGCTTGGAGACTTAGAGATAGGCGTGGTGGTCTATGGAAGGATCAGGATGCATTGGTTATGTTTTACTTATACAACTGTTTTTACCGTTAGTTTAGAGATAGCATCGATGGTCAAAGTTGTTTTTACCTTACCTCTCACTCATGCCCACACACCGCCATAGTTCCCCACATATTCGCTTAGTCTTCTATCTACCGCTGCGCGATCGGGCATCCACCGTTATCTCTATTAAGGACAGATACCTGCCCGTGGGCCTGTAGAACACACTTCCCAGGCCTCGGCTAGGCCAGCGGCAGGATTGGATCTCCGCACTAGAAGACTGCCGCTGGAAATCCTACAAATTAGTGAAAATTGCCCCCGTATATTGAAAGTCCATGGGAAAGTCACCCGTTCTGCTGTTGGTGACCGAAATTTGGAAAAAAACGGCTTCGGGAAGTCATCCATTATTGAGAGGTGAATCCAATCCTTCCAACCAAGCTGTGGTGTACCGTGGCAGTTCCCAGGACACCGTACGAGTAGGTACGAGGGGAGATGAAGGGATTGGGATTTTGATTTGGCGGGTATCTGCCAGGTGTCACGGGCCGTTCGCTGTCGAAGACGCCCCGGGCGAGACCTCCCCCCCTTGCCCCCCTCCCATCCATTCATCGCCGCTTACTACCGCACTTGATGGCACTCCGGGGACCACTAGGATACCTGTATAAAGGAACAGAGACGAGAAGATTCCGGACAAGCGCTGAGCGTAGTCGATAGATTTCTATCTTTTTGTTTTCTTTGGCTTCTTTTCTATTTCTGCCTTACGCATCGTTTATTGTGACGATTCTGTCAGCCCGATCAAAGATTGGAGTGGGGATCCGCTAAGCCTTATGAAGCGCATTGGTCCCATCCCGGGCACTCCATTATTCGGCTGCCAAGTACCGGCGAAACTCGCCCGACAGTACTGTGGACAGTTTGACGGGCCTTTCCACTAAATTTAATTGGATGGCGTGCCGACCGAACCGTACCCGGTTGCCTAATTACGACTATGACCGTCTTGGTATACAAAAAGGAAAAATTGACTTGGATCGAGATGGTGTGAGTTGACCGACATAGAAGTGAGGAGAAGGTAAACCCAATTGAGATGGAAAAGAAGGACTGTCTTTTGCGTGGTTGTCTGCGGGCTGTCGCGCCTACTCGGGTGTGCTAAGGAGGGAAAGGGGGCTGCGGCTATCGTTCTAATCGTGAAAAACAAGACGCCAAGCCATCTATCATACCTAAACAGGAGACTCTGCTGGGCGAAATTTACCCTATTATCAGATACAGCAACAAAATCCTCAAAAAATTTTTCCTCCACCATACTTGCTGACCCTTTTACTCGTACAACCGCGTATCCAAACTGGCTGACGCCTGAGCGATTGTCACGGGGTTTGCTGATCTGGTCGGTACAAGTACAAGTACTCGTACATTGGTCTTGGCGCATTTTTGGACTATTTTTTGGGGGAAATGGTCTAGCTTGGCGTTTTTTAAACCTCAGCTTTACAATGTCGCGTGCCAAGGTGTCCAACCATTCTTCAATAATCTGTGGGCACTTGGGGGATACGGTATTTGAAAATACTTTGGACTTTACAGCAGAATCCTCTAGAATTCTCTATAGCCTCAGAATGTATTGAACGGAAGGTGTGAAATGGCATGGGTTGAGTTGTTACATACCGTTCTGCTTGCAGTTTGTGGCGGAGCCCCCTTACTGTACCGAACAAATGCCTCTGATCGACCAATCCTGTACTTGTACCTCAATTGGGACTGCCTATCTGCGGACTGCTGGACCCTTTGTTGGGTTAAGCCTTCAGCTGCCCAGCTGAATGAACCCGAGGCGGGGGAGGGCCCGCGAAAGCCGTACTGGTGGTCTTCAGACCAATGTCGTCCCACTGGAGGAGCCTCCGCGATGCCGATATTGTAGGACAAGTATATGGCCTACGGGCACATTATGACCAACCGAGTCAACATCTCTCATGTCTCTGTTCACAGGGAGGGACGCCCCCCTCAACGCCTTGCTGGGGTGGTGACCTCTAGTGCAAGTACCGGTACTGTACCATACCCTGGAGTGGTGCAGCCAAATACTGTACTCTGAAGCTGCCAAGCAGAGCGAAGCCACGAGCACCGTAGCCATAGCAGAGAGATTTCTGCCGCACGCGCCTGACCTTCCGCCATACCGATATCAGTGTCAGGTCGTGAGTGGCTACGGCATACCGTAAAACCACTAAGTGCGCAGTGATTTCCTTTGGGACTGGGATAACGGGTGTTTATCGTGTGCCGTAGAGAAATTACGATGAAGCCCCTCTTTTCACATATGATGGGTCTGACCCCCGCCTCGTTTTCGAACCATCCGCTGCAATTCCTAACTAGCCATAACGAGTTGGAAAGAAGCATTGGGATGTATTCCTCATTGGAGAGCTGACAGTAAACATGTTTGCGCGACAGGTTTTCCCTTGCGCGGCGGGAGAAGCGGTTTTAATAACCCCTTTCTCGGTGCCTTGCTGCGTACTTGCACAGCCCTGTCATACCGGTAGCAGGTAGTATGCCCATCGATGCCCTGCCACCGGTTGTGGGTTTTCGGGGAAGATGGGCAGGAAAGGACAAAATTCGCACCGGTAACCGGTATTAACAATTCAAACCCCCCCGGACTCGCGTGCTGATAATCTGATACGGGTATTGGATTTTGAAAAATTTTACGGCGTAGTCCTTATTCTTGCGTTCTTGCTTTCTCTTTTCTCCCTCCTTTGCTACGGATGGTGGCTGACTGGGGTTGGGGTTTGGGCGGGGACGGGCCCGTTGTGGGTTGACTGTGATCTGGCACTGATTGGGTCCCGTACGGGTATGATGACTGGAGGGAACTGGAAGATTGGGGTTGTATGGATCCGCCGGTATTGGCCCCGCACTGTCGCGATCCGATTTGGTAGGATGAGTGGGTGCGAGTTAAGCTTCTATGGTTCCTGCCATTCAAAAAGGGGACCTGGCTGTGCAATGAGTGTTATGTGTGGCTGTACAAATTTAATCGCCAAGACTTGTCTTCCAAGGTATAGCCATAACTTTCCAACATAGAGTTAGAGGTATAAGGTTATAATACAGCAATTAACAAGTATTATAATATGAGTTCATGAATAGAAAATATACATACTTAATATGATAAATAGTATAATATTATTATAATGTAATATGATATGAGAAAACTAGAGATTAATATATATTATATTAAATTTAATTACAATACATATTTTATTCCACCTCAATTGTATTGGAAACACGTTTGTGGCTTTTGTACTTGTGCTTTACAGTCTCATGAAATTGAGAAGAGCCATAAACAATTCCCAGATGATATGCCTCTCTTATCCTCTCAGCTCTTTGTACAAATTTGAAAATCAATCCAGCTTCTATAGAAGTCAATACCTCAGGGATAAGATAACGTAAGGTCTTGATACTATAACTGCAATTATTCCTTGTATATTTCTTTTCTGCGCCCCACATGTATTCGATAAAGTTTAGCTCACAGTGAAATTTTGGATAGAATAAAACCTGATGAGAATACTGCTCGATATCTTCCTATAGTTGGCAATTTTAGTTTCGGAAATCCAGTTCATTGGCAATAAGTGCTCGAGCACAGTATTGGCCTCTAAGAAGACAGGTTTTAAGATGCTTGTCCATTCCTGGCTTTTTGCATTGAAGTCTTAGGCCACCTCTCCACAATCCTCTTTCCTCCAAAACCTTTTTCAACCCTTTTGCCTGTCCATCCTCGATTATCACACATTGGGTTTGTCCTGTGAGTTGATTGAAACCAGGGCATAGTAGGTTTTGTGCTCCACCAGGACAAAAACACATATTTCTTGCACGAAGAGCATCTGGTGCAAATGCAGAATGGCTTGTTGCATTGTCAAACATGAAGAGTACTTGATAAACTGGATATACAGATTTAAAGATTGGAATAGCAACTCTGATAACCTGACGTACAAGGTCATCACCATCCCACCAGTTGTCACCACCATATTTAATGTGCATTGTTGCTGTGTACTCACTGTACTGTAAGTTGGTATCAGATGTAAGACCAAAGTTTAGAAGATTGCCACTGAGCAGCCATCTTGAGACCTGTAAGCGACCACCAGGGGTAATAAATTCTGAGACTATAATTCTCTTACCAAGAGTCTTTTTTCTCAAAGGGGGCTCTCCTTCCTTCATTCATGCATATCTTCTTCCATCATTTGCATCAAATGTGGATTCGTTGTGTGTTACAAGAACTATTAGCCTTTGGCCACAGAAGGTTTTCAGGATAAATCATGATTGGCTTTCCTTCTGGGCTTAGTTCTCACTTAACCATAAATGGTTTCAAGCATTCAAGAGCTGGAAGAAACTCGTCTTGTCTATACCTGACTACATCTTCGTGTTCATGACCATCTTTATAAATGCCTTTCTTGATTTCTTTATACCTGTATCCAAGACGTCTTAGCTAGCGAGAGGCAGTTCGGCTAGTCAATACCTTTTCTATGGCTGCAGGTGAAGGTGGTGGGAGTGGAATATTGGATGTAAGATTGGGAGGACTAGTGCTGCTGGATGTCTCTGCTTGGGGTAATGTACTATCAGACCAGTATTGTGTAATAGCCGTAGCTAATGAGTGTGCAGTGACTGCATCTCCAGTGCGGACGATATACTCTCTAATCGTGAGTTGCATTCCCTCATCATTTAGTTGAGAAATGATGCTTTGCTTATCTTGTAACCGGTACGGGTACTTGGTTATTGGTTTTGTTTTATGTTTTGATTTAAGTATCGCTTTGATACTTGGTTTGTTTTAAGTATCGTTTGATACTTGGTTTTGTTTTAAGTATCGTTTGATACTTGGTTTTGTTTTATGTTTTGTTTTAAGTATCGCTTTGATACTTAAGGAGTTTTACCAAGGTGTATCGGTTGATACCTTTGATTAGTTTCGTTCATGTTAAGACATGAACAGATTTGTGTATTTAAAGACCGCCTGTTTCTATGATAGAAAGGGCAGACTTCGACGGACAGTATTTCAATATACTTGGTTGAACGGTTACTTCTTTGTTCCCCAGTACACCCTCGAAGCCTCCTTTAGTTCTCAGCTCTCGCCTCCTCTCTGGAACAGCAGGCCACCTGCCAACTATCGTATCTATTACCGATAACGTGATTAGCACCTTGCGAACACGTTATATTTTTTTAACCTCAGCAAGTGGTTAAGAACCTGTCCCCGGATTTAGGCCTGATCAACCTATCGATATCCACCTCAGAACGCTAGCAGAGAGAAGCGGCAGAATCACAGCACATTTGGCTTCATCTCAAACCCAAGATAGAGTCTTTGATGACCAGGAGTGGGAAGCAAATCCCATGGCAAGACCTTACAAAAAAGAAACAACTCCGGCACTCTGCTAAAGAGCTGGGCGATCCTGCAAACACGGAAGATACACAACCTCGAGGAGAATTCCCTTCGACTCCAGCTAAGAAGCCTTCCTTTGAACCTCCAAACGACCCCGAATCTAGTAGCAAATAAGATATGGCTAGCACAGGAGGAGGGCCTTCTGGAGGAGGGAAATCTCGGGCAAGGCCTGAAGAAGAGGAGGTACCCGCAGCATTTGAATCCCCTAAGTTTAAACTCCACCTCCCAGCGAAGTTCACAGGTGAAGGGAAAGACCTCAAACCTGAAGTCTTTGAATGATGGGCAACAGAACTCTCACACTTCCTACTCTTACAAGGAAAAGATGTGGAGGACCCTACAACCGGACTTATCATTAGATCATTCTGTGAAGGAAAGGCAACCGACGCATACCACCAATGCTATAAGGATTTTGGCGGGAATGTAAGATTAAGAGGAACTACAGTTCTCAATTACCTGAAAGGACGATTCCAATCCTCTATAACCAATGACCTCCTATACAACAAATTCAACCAGCTCCAGCAAGTTAACGGAACGCATGTCAAGCGAATCACCGATGTGGCTACGGACCTAATAATGTATAAGGACCGGATGGAGAGAGGAAGTATCTCCTAATACATCCTGAAGCGACGATTCTACGACACCATGCACCCTACCCTCCGGCGAGAAGTAGAACCACTCGAGGAAGATGGCGATGATATTGCAGTAATAATTGCAAGAGCAGAACGAAAGGACTCCATTCTCCATGAGACCAAGGCCTACAAAACACAGACATCCTCTAATAGGAACAGCCAGCCACGATACAAAGCCTCCAGCAACTCTGAAGACGATACCCCACGGGTTTTCAAGAAGAAAACAAAATACTCCAAAGAATCGAGACGGCAAAAAGGAGAATGTTTTGAATGTGGAAAAACAGGACACATGGCAAAGAACTGTCCTACGAAGAAAGGAAAAGGAAAGGCAATTAAGCAAGAGGCGTCGGCCAACAATGTTGAAAGCGATAACGCCCAATCCAGTGAATATGAAGAAATCCATATCAGATATATTGATGTAGAATGCAACAGTGTTCGACCTCTGGCTACATTCAAAGTACACACCGCTCTGGAAGGTCCTATCCTGATCAACGGCAAAAGGGCTCGAGTCCTATTCGACACTGGCGCAATCGGAAGAGATATGATCAGTAATGCCTTTGTCTCTATCCATGGACTCCCCACTCGAGACCTTAACCAACCCATACTAGTCAATATAGCAGTAAAGGGATCACGATCCACAAGCCATAAAACCTGTAGTGCGACCATTCGACTTGGTTCTGCAGTCCTACCCCCCCAGGAAATGCTGGTCGGGAATTTAGCCAAATACGATGCTCTAATAGGCATGCCATTCCTGAATCGCCACAAAGCTATAATCAGGTGTGGGGAATCAACTATCGATTTCCCAGAGCAGAAGGTTAGAGTCTCATGCAAGCCAACAAGTGGAGAATACCGAGCCGCAGTCTGTGAAGCAACTGCCCTATGACTATTGGATGAGTACTCTGATGTTTTCCCTGATCAAATACCCAAAGAACTACCGCCTATGAGAGAAGTGAATCACCACATCCGCCTCCGAGACCCCTCTAATCTCAAGAACCAACCCACCTACTCTATTCCTGACGCATACAAATGTCCACTTTGTGATTGGATCAACCAACAACAAAGAAGAGGAGTCATCTACTGAGCAGAAGCCCCAGGTGCCGCTCCTATGTTTGTTCAACTCAAAGCAGATGGCAAAAGAATCCGCCCCTTGGTTGACCTTAAGCTTCGGAACGAAAACACAGTTATGGACAGCTCCGCTATCCCAAACCAAACCCAGATTCTAAATGCAGTTGGACGAGCTAGATTCCGAAGTAAGATTGACCTAAGCGATGCCTACTTCCAAACAAGGTTAGATCCAGAAAGCAAGCGCTACAACAGTTTCAAAACACCCTTCGGAAGTTTCATTAGCCGAGTTATGCTAC